GCAACAGCAGGGGATAGAAGTTTGTACAAAGGCAAAAGGCACTCATTTTCAATAATACAGATGAAGAAAACAATAAATATGGAGAAGAACTTGAGCCTCATGTTAATGAGTAACAGGAGAGGAAGAGCTGCTGAGTTTATTGAAATAACCAGTTCTGAAATTTTATCATTGGTGGATGACTTATGTTAAATAAACACTATAGCAAGCTTCTTGAAGACTTGCCAGCAAAGTACGTAACACTAAGATCTGTGCTGTCTTGATGGTGGCAAAAATTGACTTTTAAAATGATGTAATAAAGACATCACATCACAAACTGGAGTATTTTCCGTTGGCAAATGCACTATCCAAGTGAGCAGAACTGTTCCCCTTACATCTTCCCATGACACCAAAAGACTTCCTGGAATCCTCAAGTCATGTGACAGAGAGTTGCGCACACAATATGCATATTTATTTGAGCCTTTCTTATAAACATCACCTGTATGACAACTTGTAAGATGAGTTCAGCTGAGCTTTTCCCTGTCAATAACATGTTTGAAATTATCTGTTCCTTGCTAATGACAGGAAAATGATCATGGCATGTTATTCTTACATTCCCCAGAGAAGGATATATGACTAGTGATATTTTTCATTTGAAACCAAAATGATGACGCTGCTAGGGAGGACCATGGAAAACATACATAAATTAGTTTTATAAAAATATTGTGAAGCCAGGTTTTTAGATACCCGATTTTGAAAAATATTTTAATGCATTTTACTTTAGGAAAACACTTGAAAGGTGATCTAGTTTCATCTAAAAATAGCATTACAATGAAATTGATTCCTTTAAGACATTTGGGATCTGGGGTTTGGGGTGGAAGATGATCAATAATCAAACTATGTACTTGGCGCTAAACTAAGTGCTTTTTATATTTTATCTCATTTAATCTTGCAAGATATATTGCACAATACAGAATGATGGTTCTTCTTTCACAGATAAAGAAATTGAGGCTAAGTTTATTGTTGAAGGTCATGCAGCTCAGCGGAATTAGGTTTTAAAACAAATAATTGAATTGAAAGCCTGTGTTCTTTCCACTTTACTATCCTATCTCCAAATTACAATTTAACTCTAAACACAAACTTTTAAAATGAGCCATATTTTATTTTTAAAAGAGCCACCTGCATGTAGCCTACTTATGTAGTTAATTTTCACTTGTACCCCCACATTCCTGTAATAAAATAAAATTTAGAAAAAAAATAAAAGATCCTAACTACATCTGCTCTGTTTTCCTTTAAAGAGACTCTTCCACCCACATGTCACAACTGCAAACACTAAGCAATCTAGGCAAGAGAACTTTCTCACTGCCCACCTTTATCCATGGGATCTGTACAACCAGGATACGCCATCCTCACTCTGAGCAGGAATGGATCCAATCCCATTTAATCCATATAACTGGAATTATTAACTCTAAGCTTCCAAAAGCACTACTCTATTTTCAGAGGCACCTCAACTTTATCCTAATAAAATATTTTTAAAAGAAAAAATTTACCTATATGAAAACCCCCAGCCTTTAACCAAACTACATAAAAATCTCAAACTGCAATATGAATAATAAAATAGAAAGTGATATATTAGTTACCCAACTCTGTCCATTTTTAAAGTAGGCAATATATAGTTTGGTTATTATTAGATGTACTAAGCTGGTAAGAAAACATCATAACATTACTGTTGCTGCTGGACAAAATTCTTAATCCTGTGATATTTTTCCCATCTCTGAGAATTGTCCCTCACACCATTCCTACTGTCATTATTCTAGTTTAAGTTTGACACCTAAACTACTGTAATAGCCCTTAATAATCTTCTCTTGTAAATCATTCTCCATGGCATTGTTTCATGCTGTAGACTTCATAGTTTATAAAAAAAACCTGTCAGCATATATTTTCATTTAGTCTTTACATCAACCCTGTGAAGTAGACATCCCTACCCAATTTTTATACATGACAATATTGCTGAAAAGTTTAGTATTATTAAGAACATATAGCATGAGAGAGACAAAGTCAGGATAGGAACCCAGGCCTTTCTACTCAGGGATACCACCAATACCTCTCCAGTGGCAGACTCTTAATTCCATGCTCTATTTATGTTTATACTAATGATCAAGGTCTCTCCACATAAGTGACCCAAATTCAAGGGGAACTATCAATGTATTCTGGAGCCAGGCTGTATAAAGCTTGGCTCCACCACATGCTAGCTGTGTTAGTTAACCTTTGCAAATAACTTAACCTCTTTAAACTTCAGTTTCTTTATCTGAGCATTAAGAACAACAATAGTACCTTTCTAATATGATCATTGTGAGAAGAAAATTAATCAATATGCTAGTCTATCTTACACAAAGCTGCTAGTGTTAACCTTGTAAACCATACCTATTAGTATTTTTCTATTCAGTAAACTTTATTCCATTGCCTACTAAAGAAAGCTCCAAGTTTTCACTTTGCCTGGTTTGAGATCAGGTACCCTTACTAATGTTGTGTGCCCCCACTCCCTCCCCTGGCAGTTTCTGGCTACTGCTGGTCCTTTCTTGTAGTGTTATGATAGATGTTCAGAGTCTACTTGTGAGTGAAAACATGTGGTGCTCAGTTTTTTGTTTCTGTGATAGATCACTGAGTGTCGTGGACTCTGGGTCTGTCCAAGTTGCTATGAAGTCCATAATTTTGTTCTTCTTGATGGATGCATAATATTCCATCATACATTCAATATATTTCCATTAACTATAACCACTCTACTTTGGTACTGAATATTATAATTTATTTCTTCTGTTTAACTGTATGTTTGTACTAGTTAACCAATTTCTTTTAATCCTCCACAATCACTCACACACTATTCCTAGTCTGTGGTAGCTACCATTCTACTCTCTACTTCCATGGGATCATCTTCCACATGAGTGAGACCATGAAATATTTGTCTTTCTGTGCATGGCTATTGCATTTAACATAGAGACCTACAGTTTCATCTGTGTTGCTAAAAATTATATAAACTCCTTATTTTTATGACTGAATAGTATTCCATTATATATATATTACATTTTTGATTCATTTGTCTATTGATGGTCACATAGTTTGATTCCATGTTTTGGCGATTGTGAATAATACTGCAATAAAAAAATAGGAGTACAAACAAAAAAAGAAAGCCCCAAATTTTTAACTTAACACTTAAGGATCTCATAACCAGGTCTCAACGTGTATTATGTTAACACTACACCCTAGTATTTCACATAACATGTCTTCCATACCATACAAATCAAGCCACTAACTATTCTTGAAACCCAACATGTACTTTCCTAAATCCTATAACTTTGTTCAAGAAATTCCTTCTTCCTAGGATGTTATCTCCATGCAATACCACAATATCATATATGTAAAATCTACTCATTTTTCAAAACCCAGGTTAATTTCCTCCTCCTCAACAAAGACTTCTTTGATCTCCTAGCTGAAATTAATTTATTCTCTCTTCTGTTCCCAAAACATGGTGATATCTCATCTTTTATGATGGACAACACTTTGCTTTGTGTTATGTTTTATGTGCTTGCCACTTTCCCCCTTTAGAGGAAACTAAGGCAAGTACAAGTTAAGTGTTAGATTGAACTGTATAAAATTGCTAATATTTGACCAATTTCAAACTATAAAAATGACAATTTCAAATGATTTAATCTAATAAAATGGCCCTTTTATGGTCATTACTAGTCCACTTAATGTAAGACATTCAACAATCTTTGGATTGTGTTTTAGGCCAATGTTTCCATGCAGGTATTCACAGGAAAGACAATTTTAGGATTTTTTTTTTAATTAAAAAAAAAACATGAATTGTAAATCTTTGTAGTTCTTTTTTTCACCAATATGGCCAAAATATTTATTTCAACATTTTAGTCCTTAGAAATAATCTCAAGTATGTTTAATATAAAACAGTAAAATTTTTATGTGGGCAGGATCCTTCTTTACTTTTTCTTACTATTTTATTTTGTCTTTTAGTAAGAGTTGCCTATGACAGAGGTCAATTTGAGATCTAAAAAAAACACAAATGAACCAGGCTTGGTGGCTCAGCCTGTAATCCTGCGCTTTGGTAGGCTGAGGTGAGTGGATTGCCTGATCCCGCAGGTTTGAGACCCGCCTGGGAAACTTGGCAAGACCTCATCTCTACAATAAATCAAAAAATTAGCTGGGTGTGGTGGCGCATGCCTGTAGTTCCAGCTACTTGGAAGGCTGAGGCGGAAGAATCGCCAGAGCTCAGCAGGTCGAGGCTGTGGTGGCCCGGAGCGTGCCACTGCCCTCTAGCCTGGGCAACACAGTGAGACTCCAACTCAAAAAAAAAGAACAAACACACAAATAATAGCTGATTCCCATTGTTCTAGCTGTTATTGTTAGTTTTACCAAAATACAAGAAAATTGTTTTTACCTTAACACTTGGATAGCAGATGTTTGCAAAGTCTTCATAACATAAATTAGTCACTGGGGATTGTATCCCAGAAAATTTCTCCTTAGCAACTAAGTTTTAGTTTCTGTTTTGTTGATGTAATACACAATAAAATATAAGCATATTTTTATTTGAGTTAGTATAATATATTCTCAAGGAAGACATACAAGAAGTAAATACCAGCTTGCAAAATGTGGCCATTACAATCACCTTAGATAATATCATCATTTCCAATTCATTGTTCATTTAAATACCATAACTCATGAAAATATTTAATGTTGAATAATTGGTGGGTCCATTTTAGAACTGAGGACCACCTAGAAATGGGGTATTAAGTAACTAACTTATAACTTACCTCATCGATTTAATGTATTAATGGACCTGAATTGTTTTCTTTTCAAGAGGAAATGGAAAAATTTGTTTAAAAAATTCTATGACACATACAGTAGTATAACTCCCCAATATTTTGATGAAAATTTAATGTGAGTACTTATAATATGAGAAGTGTTCCAGAATGTTATTACAGATTAATAAGGAATCATCTGATTGGTCTTACCTGCTCGTGAATCTGGTTTGATCCCCCATGGCACAGCTCATTTCCAATGTTTGTAGAAATTGAATCACTTTCTGTGATGGTTTGGATTTGCTGGTTAGAATGGGACTGCTGACAATGTGGAGAGTGGATGATCTGGGGTTGTTGGACAATGTGATGATGGCACTGAACCTGAGGATAGCATTCCTAAGATACATACACATGCCAAAAATATCCACTGAGAATAAAAATTACTAATCAAGAAAAATACGATTAAAACCATTTTTAAAATTTAAAGTTTTTTTCATTATGACTCAAACCCTAGGCTTTGTAATTTTAATTATTGTTATATTATTTTTCAAATTTTTTCCATTGGGAAAGTTTGTATTGAATTCTGTGTTTATTTGATCATGTGGCTGTGATCATCCAAATAGTTAAATTAGCCAAAGAATGTATCTGATTAAATTAATATTCCAGTTATACTTAATGGTAAAATTGTAATGAATATTAACATTACTTAATCTCTTTTGCTGATTCAACAGGCACTTAATTATCTAATTATATAATACTGTTATACTGAAATATAGATAAATATACAATTAGAAAATAATACAGTGATTTTCAATGTCAGAAAACATATTAGAGTCATAATGTGGAGAGCAATGTTCTTATGTTTATGAAACTCAAATATAAATTTTTGAAAAAGATTGAACTCCAGTGACTAAAGCTTCAGATCCAGAAAACAGGGATTTCTAACACTGATTCTACCACTTACTCTATGATCTTGAAAAACTGTATATTCAACCTTCATGAGCCTCATTTTCTCATTTGTAAAAGTAGACATAATATATGTCCCATTTGAGTGCCATGAGGTGTAAATTTACTAAATGTCTGTAAATTTCTTAGTACAAAGTAGGTGAGTAATAAACATTACTATTATTATGTTATCATCATCATTGTCATCATCATCAACTGTATCACCATCTATCCCACTAATTTTGAAGATTAAAAAAAAAACAAACTCCTGAGGTCCAGGCAAATAAGATGACTTACTTATAATGACACAGTTAATTAATGGCAAAATTGGAACTGTAACTCATAATTTCTAGCTTAGACTTCTTTCAGGATATTAGGCTGAATTTGTTGTTTGTAAACTAAATCTTTGTTATCTGATTATTTATTTGTTATGGCCTTTTTTTCTATAAGTATAGAGTACAGACTTTAACAAGATATCTGGTTATTTTAGTTTGGGGAATTTCAGGTACATTTCAGCTTTCTTTATTATTTTGTTATTATTCTACTTTGATCAGAGGCATCTGGAAGCCTGCTTTCAAAGGAAAAATACTCTTTTTTGAATCATAATGCCATACACATGCACATACAACTAACTTTGTAAGTATAAACTAAATGTTTTATTTTGACTATAAAAAGTTTACCTATATTAATACAGTGAAGTACTTCACATTTTAATTTTTTATATTAAACAATTTCCAAGCTATATTAAATGGAAAACACCAAAGTGCAAAGGAATTAATATAGTATACCCCTTTTCTTATAAGATTTTTTAAAAATGTGCATACATATATTTACAAACATATATAACTGCTTTTATATGCATAGACCAAAACATTTTTAAGAGTGGCTGCCTCTGGGAGGAGAAACTGAGGACAACATAGTCTGGAAAAGGAAAAATAAGCTTATTTTTCATTGTAGACTGCTAAATACACTTTTTAGTGTTTTTATACTATTTGAAAATATTTGTCATACATAACAATTATCAATCAATGTATACAAATCTATCTTGAATGAAAGAAAAAATGTATAAAGAAGCATATTTTACAAACAGAAGTTGCCTTCCTAAACATACAACTAGTAAAAACTCATATAATATATTAATTGAATCATTTTTTCTAGACTCTTCAGATGTGACTGACTTTTAAGAATGCTAACACTAAGATCTTTACAGTTTAGGAAACTAATTGTATGCTATCAGAAACTTTTGTACAAATTTTGAGGGTAAATGCATGTTACATTATTATCTTTTATGTTACAAAATACCTTCATATGCTGAATTAGGATAAAATTACACTGACAGTCTGAGAAGACCACTCAGTGGGGAGCTTATACACTATTGAAATAGAATTCCTTTTGAAGAAGAAAACAATAGTATGTCCTTCACAAAGCAAATTAGAAAACACTTGGAAAGAGTATATCAATAGAGGGCAATAAAGAAAACAAAAACCATTTCTCAATCACCTTCCTTCATTAATATATCAGTTGACTCTTGAATAAAATATTGACATTTCCATCATCCAGGGTGCCTTGCAGTTTACCTGAGCCTATTCGGTCTGTGAACCATTCGTTGGTATCACTGAATTCTTAGCAGATTTTCAGTTTTCAATTCTTATACCTGCTACTGAAGTTATTGCTTTAAAGCAAGATGCGCATATATTATCATATTTGTAAAGTATATCATTAGTTAAACTTTCAAAGTATAAAAGATCAAACATGTTCTGATTTATCATACATTTTTCCTCTTTAAAAGTGAAAAAGAGCCAGGTTCAGTGGCTCAGCCTGTAATCCCGCACCTTGGGAGGCCGAGGTGAGTGAATTGCCTGAGCCTGTGGGTTCGAGACCCGCCTGGGCAACTTGGCGAGACCTCATCTCTACAATAAATCAAAATATTAGCTGGGTGGGGTAGCGCGCGCCTGTAGTTCCAGCTACTTGGAAGGCTGAGGAGGAAGGATCGCCCGAGCCCAACAGATAGAGGCTGTGGTGGCTGGGAGTGGCCACGGCACTCCAGTCTGGGCGACAGAGTGAGACTCCAACTCAAAAAAAAAAAAAAAAAGAGAGAGAGAGAGAAAAAGAATTACAGAGTGCAAATCATGTAAGTTGGATAATTATCTTGTGACTAGCACTAGTTTACCACCCTTTCACTATAAAAACCTCTTTTTTCTTGGACAGATCTCATATCCTTAGATATAGTCCTATTTGATTTACTCACATATACAGTAAACAGATTCATCCAGACTCTGCCTTTACCCAGCTTGTCCTGGTCTATCTCTATCACTGAGGAAACTCAGCCAGGAGAAAACAATTGCAAAATGTTCCATCTGCATGTTTCCCTTAACTTGGGAAGCTTCCATGGCAGTTTCAAAAGTCTCAAATTGTTTAAATCATTAATAAGCAAAAGTGTCCATAAACAAGTAAATAGTAAGCAGCAGCAGTTTTCTCTTTTTTTTTTTTTTTTTGAGTTGGAGTCTCACTCTGTTGCCCAGACTGCAGTGCCGTGGCCGCTCCCGGCCACCGCAGCCTCGACCTGCTGGGCCCCAGCGATCCTTCCGCCTCAGCCTTCCGAGTAGCCGGAATTACAGGCGTGCACCTCCACGCCCGGCTAATATTTTGATTTATTGTAGAGATGAGGTCTCGCCAAGTTGCCCAGGCGGGTCTCGAACCCGCAGGCTCAGGCAATCCACTCACTTCAGGCTCCCAAAGCGCGGGATTACAGGTTGAGCCACCGAGCCCAGCTAGCAGTTTTCTCTTAATGGAGCTCTTCTTTAATTGTCCCAGCTGCATAGCAGTAATAATGTCTATGATATTCAATATCTTACTTTAGAGTTCAAAAATTAGAAAAGCTATTTAGTCTCTTAAAAACAAGAAACTGGGAGCAGCATAAACTGATAAACCCCAAACATTTCTTACTATTTAAAGTGTGTCAAACTTATTGTTTAGGCAGCCCAGTTGAATAAAGGACAGATGTTATTTTATAGCTTGAGAAAAATATCCCTTGAAGAACAGACTTATTTAATGAAATTTTTCTACTTAATATTATAAAGTCTAGAAATATTATGCTGTTCTTCTGTAAGATGTCTGTTCAATATATACCATACTAAACCCTTCAGACTATAACCAGCTTTCCAAGTGAACCAAAATCTTAAAGAATTTAGGGCCAGATGTGTTGGCTCATGCCTGTAATCTCAGTACTTTGGGAGACCAAAGTGGGAGGATTGTTTGAGGCAAGGAATTTGAGACTAGCCTGGGCAACATATCAAGATCAAACTCTATGAAATATAAAAAAAACAAAAATAGCCAGGCATGGTGGTGTGCACCTGTAGTTCCAGCTATTTGGGATGCTGATGTGGGAGAACTGCTTAAGCTCATGGGGTAGAGGCTGCAGTGAGCCAAGATTGAACTACTGCACTCCAGCCTGAGCAACAGAGCAAGAGCCCATCTCTTAAAAAAATAAAAAGAATTTGGATGTTTATGATTCTGAGCGTTTGCTCCATTTCATTTTCACTAGACATCAAATCAGTAATATTGTGCTTGTCCCTATGAATTTGTTAACAATTGTCCACAAATGGTCTTAAAAATATAATGTGCTCTTATGCCAAAAAATTCAAAGAGAAAAATCTAGTATATTTAGACAGTTTCATTTCATTTGTATATGAGAAAAATAGTTTTGGTCTCAAAATTGATTTGACAGCATTTAACTACCCATTATGGGTTGAATTAACCCCCAAAAGATGTGTTGAAATCTATTCCTCAGTAACTCAGAATGTGGCCTTAATTTAAAAATAGGGTCTTGCCGGGCTCGGTGGCTCAGCCTGTAATCCCGCGCCTTTGGGAGGCTGAGGTGAGTGGATTGCCCGAGCCCGCGGGTTCGAGACCCGCCTGGGCAGTGAGACCTCATCTCTACAATAAATCAAAAAATCAGCTGGGCGTGGTAGCATATGCCTGTAATTCCGGCTACTCGGAAGGCTGAGGTGGAAGGATCGCCGGAGCCCAGCAGGTCGAGGCTGCGGTGGCCGGGAGCGGCCACTGCACTCCAGTCTGGGCGACAGAGTGAGACTCCAACTCAAAAAAAAAAAAAATAGGTTCTTTGTAGAGGTAATCAAATTAAAATGAGTTCATTATGATGGGCCTTAATACAATGTGACTGGTATCCTTATAAAAATGGGAATTTAGACACAGACATTCACAGAAGGAAGACGATGTGAAGACACACAGAAGATGTGTGAAGATGGAGGATGGGAGTGATGCATCTACAAACCAAGGAATGCCTAAAACTACCAGAAGCTAGGAGACAGGCATAGGGGTTTCTTCCCTGGCAGCTTTAGAGAAAGCATAGCCCTGCCCATACAGCAATTTCAGACTTGTGGATTCTAGAATTGTAAGACAATAAATTTCTGTTTTAAACCAAATAATTTGTGGTACTTTGTTACAGCAACTCTAAGAAATGAATATACTGCCCTAGTTCAAGAATGTCCAAGAGACAAGTCTCAGATTGTGTCTGGGCTGGGCATGCAGAGCAATATGAAAACTCTGAAGATTACAGTAACAACTCTACATGAAGGACTTGGGGCTCTAGATGCCATAGAATTTTGATTGCCGTGCTTTAGTTTTACACATTATGTTGTCTCTTGATTTGTGCTTAATGAAATTTTTTAAAAGTAACTTGAAGTTTTAGTTTTCTAGATCTATTACAGTATATAGTATTTTACATATTTGTTCATACCTATTGTTCATTTAAAATTAATTCTATAATAAAAGGAGTAGGACAAAATGATCATGTTTTAAGTTATGATTTTTGTGGGACCAAAAGATATCTACATTAAGTTCATATTCTACCATTAATTTTCTATGTGACTGTACATATCTTGACTTCAGTATCTCTTTCAGTAGAATGAAGACAATAATACTTCACATGAAAATGGATATGAAAGTATCCATTTCATATCCATGGTATAAAATGCTATAGACATAATAACATATTATTATAGCTCATGATAGTCATGCCTGGCACTTGACAATTAAATGTCATTTTAGCTCTATTAAAATATTCAAAATTCTAAATTATTCACCATACAAAGCAAATTTTAAAACAAATATTACTTACCTGATCTGTATTTAGTTTCTCTACTTTCCTGATTGTTTTTTCATAAATAACATTATTTCCTGGAAAGAAATGGCCTCCTCTTAGGAATGGAGATAGTGGTTCCTACAAAGACAGCAAAGAATATGTTTTGTTCTGAAAGGTATTTTTTTTCAGAGGAACCTTATCTTAAATAAATACTATCACTAATAGTCTCTTGAGGTAGTGGCAGAATTTAGGAGGAAAGTGGAATGACATCCCAATAATGTTCTGACAGATGCAAGGAAATAATAATAAAGATAGTTCACTTTATCAAAGATAACAATCTGAATTTTTTCCTACCATATTGTACTAGGTCTAACAATTTGGGGAGATTGGTAGAGAGTGGGAACATATTTATTCATTATTTTTTCTAAGGCAAGAGATAATGAGTTTTCTACAAGATACGCAAACATGAGGTCAACCTCATTTAAATTGGGTTCACTGACAGGTTTCTTTCTATGCAAAAGTATTTTCAGAGAAATGCAAAACAAACATAATTCAGCATGGCTAAGCCATAAATTAGGTAGAACTATACTAAAGATTTTTCTGGAACTCAATTTGGGTCCTTTTAAAGTGTACACTTCTTACTTGTGATTACAATCAAGGCTAAGACTCTGGGAACAACATATGTTTCGAATATTGAGAATAGTGTAGAGGCTTTAAGAGCTACTGTATCTCTGTATAATCAACTAAATTACTGTAGGATTGGCCAAGTGCTCAGAAGATGTCAGCCAATGATATAAAGCCAGGTAACATGCTCAAGATCTGAAAGAAACCAGGAAAGAGCTAAGAATCAGACCGGGAAGCTAAAATAAATGTAATGTGCACTACATTCTTTTCCCTTCTTTTGGTTTTCATTTGAATCTTTACTTGTGTAGGAAGAGCTGGAGTTGTTTTGCTACAAAAAAAAAATTACAATCACTTATTTTATAGTATAGGGGAATAGTATAGAAAGGTAATGGTCAAGCTTATTATCAATTTATGTGCTTGGGACCATTTCAAAATTAACAAAATATAACAGCATTTTTGTTGTCTGCTATTTTATTTTTTTAACATATTTTTTATTTTAAAATTGTGGGGTACAGTTAAGGGTTAGGTATACAAATATGCATCGTTCAGGCACCCTTGTTGATAAGGGGTGTCCCCCCATCCCCAGACAGATATTGACTACCGTTAATCCCACCACCCTTGCCCTCCCTATCCCCCCCATAGATTCCCACCACTGTCAATCCTTTTCTTATAGTATTATGCTATATGTTCAAGGTACACTTATGAGTGAGAACATGTGATACTTAGATCTTTGTTGCTGTGAAAGATCACTCAGTATTATAGACTCTAGTTCCATCCAGGTTGCTGCAAAAATCACGATTTTGATCTTTTTTATAGCTGCATAGTATTCCACCGTGTATATGTACCACATTTTTTAAATCCAGTCCTCTTTTGATAGACAGCGTGGTTGGTTCCAGGTTCTTGCTATTGTGAACAATGCTGCAATAAACATTCGTGTGCAGGTATCTTTTTTATAGAGTGATTTAAGTTCTTCTGGGTATATTCCCAGTAGGGGGATTGGGGGGTCATATGGGAGGTCAATGTTTAGAGCTTTTAGGGATCACCACACTGCTTTCCACAGAGGCTGTACTAGTTTACACTCCCACCAACAGTGTAGAAGTATTCCCTTTTCACCACATCCTCTCCAGCATCTGTTATTTTTTGAGTTATTGATAATGGCCATTCTGACTGGAAT